CTGAAGTTATAATCTGAGCAGATACATTTGAATTAAAATGTGTTACAGCCAAACGAGAATCAATTAACTTTACACAATTGATTCCTGACTCTTATATTTATTATGTTTGTCAAAGCTATCGAGTGAAACTCTGGGCCCTGTCGCTCTTTTTCTTGAAATATCTAAAGCTAGGAAAATAGTCATTCAATGGCACGAAGTCTGGGTGCATACAATATTAAAATATAGTTTGAGACCATACAGATATATAAATTTGAGGTCATATGGATTTGTCTCTTAACTTGGGGCAGAGCCATTATATAATACCACATCTTCATTTCAACTTTGAACATTTTAGCTTGTTCTAAAAGGTAGTTAGTACGACAAATTATTTAATTATGGAGTGTACCTGTTTAAAAACAATTATTTTAAATTTTTGAAGCTTATTTATTTTTGAGAGAGAGAGAGTGAGAGAAAGAGAGAGTATGAGCAGGGGAGAGGGCAGAGAAAGAGGGAGACACAGAATCCAAAGCAGGATCCAGCCTCTGAGCTGTCAGCACAGAGCCCATCGTGGAACTCAAACCTATGAACCAGGAGATCATGACCTGAGCCAAAGTCAGATGCTTAACCAACTGAGACACCCAGGCACCCCTGGAATGTACCTGTTTTGATCACCCACTCTTCACCCTAGGGCTATGGGAATGACCAAACACATGACACCCGACAGCAGACAGGTGAAGGTGACAGCCATTTGCTAATCACATATATTCACAATCTGGGGAAAGAGGACACCACATGCTGCACGGCCACATGGGGGTTTTACTTTGTACTTGGGAACAGAGTGAATAATCAGAGACTGTGAGAAGCAGGCGTTGTATTACCAAGAGACTAGGGTGACCCCTGTTCCAGTGGAAGGGTGTGGTTGGCTTATTTGAGTAATTCCATGGGCTGGCAGGAAACTGAAACCTACCACTTGGGATATACACGAACTGTGTTTGGTCCATTGGATAACAAGGCTAGGAGAACTTTTCTACAGAGAAGAGTCGGAAAGGGGACATACAGTTAGGCCATTCAAGAGCCTTCTGATTTTACGAGATGTCAAGGAATCAGAATTCAATCATCTTTTACAGTGCCAATAGCACATCCCTTCTGTAGGGCCTTTTGATAGGATTTAAAAAATTCATTCAATGAATAATTATTGCATGTCTACTATGCCTACCATGTGTAGATACTGGTCTGGGTGCCAAGAATGTGGCAGTAAACAAAATAAGACAAAACACCCAACCCTCCTTTAGCTTAAATCCCAGTGGACAAGTAGAGAGGCCATAAACAAATGAGGAATTAAATTCTTTTACCTGACAGATGATGGATTGTAAGTGCTACGGTAAAAACTGAAGCAGGGAAAGAAGGCAAGGGGTTCTGTGGGTGCAGGTTGTAATTTGAAATACAGGGATCTGAGAAGTCTGCTTGAAGATGTCATTTAAATGAAGACCTGAAGGAGTTAAAAAATCAGAGTATTTCAGTTAAAAGCAACAGAAAGTACAAAAGTCTTGGAGCAGAATCAAAACTGCAATGTTGTATTCCAAGTAGAGCAAGCAGGCCAAGGTGGCTGAGGGAAGTGAGTGGAGGAGAAGAATAGAAGATGCCTGAGATGTAAGGCAGGGGCCGATTGTGAGTGTTATGAAGAAGATAGTGGCTCCTACTCCAAATGAGATGGGAGCGTCTGGACACAGGAGTGGCATGGTCTGATGTACGTTTAAAGGATGACTTTAATCAGTTGCATTTCTATACTCCAATAATGAAGCAGCAGAAAGAGAAATCAAGGGATCGATTCCACTTACAATTGCACCACAAACCATAAAATGCCTAGGAATAAACCTAACCAAAGAGGTGGAAAATCTATACACTGAAAACTATAGAAAGCTTATGAAAGGAACTGAAGAAGACACACACAAATGAAAAAAACATTCCATGCTCATGGATTGGAAGAATAAATATTGTTAAAATGTCGATACTACCCAAAGCAATCTATATATTCAATGCAATCCCTATCAAAATAACACCAGCATTCTTCACAGAGCTAGAACAAACAATACTAAAATTTGTATGGAACCAGAAAAGACCCCGAATAGCCAAAGCAATCCTGAAAAAGAAAACCGAAGCTGGAGGCATCACGATTTCTGGACTTCAAGCTGTATTACAAAGCTGTAATCATCAAGACAATATGGTACTGGCACAAAAACAGACATATAGGTTAAAGGAACAGCATAGAGAACCCAGAAATGGACCCACAAACATACAGCCATCTCATCTTTGACAAAGCAGGAAAGAATATCCAGTGGAATAAAGACAGTCGCTTCAGCAAATGCTGTTAGGAAAACTGGACAGCGGCATGCAGAATAAACCTGGACCACTTTCTTGCACCATACACAAAAATAAACTCAAAATGGATGAAAGACCTAAACATAAGACAGGAAGTTATCAAAATCCTAGAGGAAAAGACAGGCAGAAATTTCTTTGATCTTGGCCGCAGCAACTTCTTACCTGATATATCTCCGGAGGCAAGGGAAACAAAAGCAAAAATGAACTATTGGGACCTCATCAAGATAAAAACCTTCTGCACAGTGAAGGAAACAATCAGCAAAACTAAAAGGCAACTGAGGGAATGGGAAAAGATATTTGCAAATGACATATCAGATAAAGGGTTAGTACCCAAAACCTATAAAGAACTTATCAAAATCAACACCCAAAAAACAAATAATCCAGAGAAGAAATGGGCAAAAGACATGAATAGACACTTTTCCAAAGAAGACATCTAGATGGCTAACGGACACATGAAAAAATGCTCAACATCACTCATCATCAGGGAAATACAAATCAAAACCACAATGAGATACCACCTCACACCTGTCAGAATGGCTAACATTAACTACTCAGGCAACAACAGATGTTGGCGAGGATGCAGAGAAAGAGGATCTCTTTTGCAAACTGGTGTAGCCACTCTGGAAAACGGTCTGGAGGTTCCTCAAAAAATTAAAAAGAGAACCATCCTATGACCCAGCAATTGCACTACTAGGAATTTATCCAAAGGATATAGGAGTGCTGTTTTGAAGGGGCACAGGCACCCCAATGTTTACAGTAGCACTACTGACAATAACCAAAGTATGGAAAGAGCCCAAATGTCCATCAACTGATGAATGGATACACACACACATACACACACACACACACACACACACACACACACACACACACACATATACACACAATGGAATATTACTTGGTGATGAAAAACAATGAAATTTTGCCACTTACAACAACGGGTATGGAACTAGAGTGTATTATGCTGACCAAAACAAGTCAGTCAGAGAAAGACAAATATCATATGACTTCACTCATATATGGAATTTAAGATTCAAAACAGATGAACATAAGGGAAGGGAAGCAAAAATAATATAAAAACAGAGAGAGAGACAAACCATAAGAGACTCTTAAATACAGAGAACTGAAGGTCATTGGAGGGGTGTTGGGTGGGGGATGGGCTAAACCGGCAAGGGGCTTTGCCCCTTGGAGGAGGGACACTTGTTGGGATGAGCACTGGGTGTTATATCTAAGTGATGAATCACTAAATTGTATTCCTGAAATCATTATTGCACTATATGTTAACTAACTTGGATGTAAATTAAAATAATAATAATAATAATAATAAATAAATTAAAAAATAAATAAATAAATTTTAAAAAAATAAAGGAGGACTTTAGTTGCTGGGTTGAGAATAGATTAAGAAATGCAGGAGAGCTAGAGGGAGGACCAGACAGGGGGCTACTCCAGAACCCGAATGAGAGAGAAGTTGGCTTAGTTCACTAGTGAGACGTATAAAAATTAATAAAGGGAGACCTCACTAAAATAAAGTGGGGAGGCTGGAAGGAGGAGCTCTCAGGCCCAACCACTTCCTGTTAATTGAAAATCAAGCAGGAAGAAATGAACCTTACTCAGGATATTACTTTAACTATTACTTTACTACTCCCAGCAGGGGAAGAAAGGTTTTCCTTCTCCCCCGGCAATAGCCCACCCAATGAGAGGCAGTCACAGCCCAGCCAATGAGAGGCAGTCACAGCTCAGCCAATGAGAAGCCACCATACTTCCAACTCCCAGTTTACTCCAATGGAGTTTTTGTTTATAAGCGCTTCACAACTTCCTCCTTCCTCTGCAAAACCGGGTGTTTTCTCTTTTGTTCCTGGCACTCACTTGACTGTGGTTTTGCTGCAGCTGGCCTGCTCTGGATTACAATTCTGTTATTCTCTAGTAAGCTCATTTTTTTGCTGGTAAAATAACTGGCAGTTTTATTTTTTAAGGTTAAAAGAAGTATGTGATTCTGGAAATACTTTAACGGTAAAACCAGTAGGATATACTTGAGATGAGAGAAATAAAGAATTGAGGGTGACCCCAAAGTTTCTGTCTGGAGCCACTAGGGGGAAACTGCAGTTAGAAGAGCGAGGAGAAAGTTGCCATGAGGCCGGGATGGGGCGTTAGGAGATTGTGGAGGAATGTGTTAAGTTTGAAATGCTTGTTAACCAATCACGTGGAGGTTTTAAGGCGACAGTTGTGTAGGAATCGAGATTGAGGGGAGAGGATCACATAAGACCTTGCGACTTGAAAGCCAGAGCTGGAGGGGGGCGCCCAGATGGCTCAGTCGGTTAGGCGACCGACTTTGCTGGGGTCATGATCTCACGGTTTGTGAGTTCGAGCTCCGCGTGGGGCTCTGTGATGACGGCTTGGAGCCTGAAACCTGCTTTGGATTCTGTGCATCCCTCTCTCCCCCCTCCGCCCATTCTCTCTCTCTCTCTCTCTCTCTCTCTCTCTCTCTCTCTCTCTCTCAAAAATAAAGAAACATTTAAAAAAATGAAAAGAAAAAAGAAAACCAGAGCTGGAGCTCTGGGGCTTCCGATATTTATGAGGGTGAGTTGGAAGAACGAGGGCTTCTTCTTGATGGCCCATCTGAGCTTATATTTTCACCAAAATGTGTTCTCCCCCGAACAGCATTTCTTTGCGGGGGTGAGCAAAGGCCTGGATGGAAAGCCTGGCTGTTGAAGAATGGTTCTTAGAGAGGCCAGTTAGCTGGTGCCTATGTTAGTTTTCTGTAGCCTGTGTCCAAGCAGACACTGATTTGCCCCGCAACCTCGCCCCCCTTAACTTCAGGCATGGCAGAGGGAAAGGGACTTGCTTATTTGGGACTTGGGGACAAGAAGGAAGCCGCATCAGTCACTCAAGCCCCCACACTCCCACCCCTCTGCTCAGGACTGCTGCTTGGAAGCACCGGGTATTTTTCCACTGGAGAAGTGCTTAGTGGCTGTGGTGATAAAAACTCCTCCTTGAAGATGACTCAGCTGCTCTGGTCTTCTGCCAAAGTCTTGTTCAAGAGGGAGTTGAAGGAGGCTCCAGACGGGGAGGATGGAACACCTACAGCCGGCAAGAAACGTACAGTGGTGAGGACTTCCACCTTTTACCCTTCCTTTCCCCAGGTCACCAGCATAATAGTGGCTTGTGTTTCTCCGATGCACATTGGCTGCCAGACGCACAAAATACCATCTTAGAGATGAGAAAAGAAGGCATGGAGAAGTTAAGTGACACAACCCAGGCCGTTCTGAGCCGGTGTTCTTGACCCCTAGTCTTTAGGCTTTCGAAGCAGACCCAGATTCTTCCTGATGCCTCCCCTCAGGAGTCTTTATATCAGAAGCTGGGAGCGCTCTCTCTCTCTCTCTCTCTCTCGTCTCGCTCTCTCTCTTCTTCTTCTTCTTCTTTTTTTTTTTTTTTTTTCTTGCCTTCCTTTCTCCTTAAACCCTGTTAAGGAATAATAGAAGTTACTTACTAATGGCTCAGCTGCTAACTCTTTTGCAAGAAGGCAAGTTCCAGGGGGAAAAGGCACACATACTTCCGGATAAAGTCCTTTCGCGTTGACTAAGCTACCTTTGATGTATAATACACTTCGAGCCCCAGACTTGCTTGTAGTTTAAACTCAAGACATCGTTAGCATGGCTTTGCTTCCTTTCCTGAAAGAGAAAAAGGAGTGTATTATGTGGAAAATCCCTCTGGTTTGATACATAGTTCACCATGTTATCTCAGCTCCCCAATGTATATCGTTGTTGCCAGAAATACAGACATTCTCCCAGGTAAGAACATCTGCCGTTGGAAGTTGCAGAGAACAAGGAGGCCTCTTAGCTATGACTCCCCACCATCTCTGCCAGCATCAAGGCCCTGAGCTATACTGTTCCCATATCCAGAGTAAAGAATGATTTTTACCCCAAATGGGAACAATGTTTCTGTATTTATAAATCTGAGAAATTCAGACACATCTGCTCATATTTACACCAATTCTGTTGCGGCTGTAAAATTGCATATGCTATTTTGATGAAACTTTATCTTAATTTCATTACCAGCCTGAGTAATCATGTGATAATTGCCTTATTTCCAAGTAACTGGGCAAAAATGATATTTAGAGTTTTTTTTTTTTTTTTAGTTTCTCTTTTTAGACTCACGACTTTAATAAAATATTCTGCTATTTTATCTTCCTCAATGGGAGCCGAAGTAATATATTTTCAAGCTAGTCATTTTTCCATTTGAGGAGAAAATGGTTGACCATACCTGAAAGAGGGGATCACTGATGGTCTTGGTGATGATCCAGTTCAGGCACAGAAAGCTACATTAAAGTGTATTTGAGGTGCGGAAAGATGCTGTAGAAGAAAAGAACTCAGGATTTGGCTTCAAACAAACCTTGGTTAGAGAGGCAAATTAGCAGATGCCTATGCTGGTTTTTTTGTAGGCTGTGTCCAAGTGGCCACTGACTTGGCCTTTGCTAACTAGTTAGTATGTTACCTTAGGCAAATAGATCACATGACTTCTCTGAGCCTTATTCTTCTCATCTAGAGAATAGGTTTTGAAAAAACTACTGGCATTATGTGAGTGTTTGTCTAGCACATAGGTGATGATAAATGATAGCTCTTAGCATTTTTATTACCTTCCAAACCTATGCATATCCTGTTGTATCCAAACTGCTTGAAGTATTGTTGTGAGAGATTTCACTTGGTTTATCTGACTAGGAAAATACTTTGTTTTCCTGATTGCACCACAGTTCCCTGATTGGAATAGGAAACCAGGGCCACCATATTGCCCAATACTACTCCAGGATACGCCGTTCACGTTTTGGTCCAAATGAATGGCCTGTCTTAGAGTTAAACCTTGGAAAGCTTGGAGGAACTTACCCTAGAAGTCAACGACTTACATAGCCCTCAGTATCCACCCTCTTGCCTTCCAGGTTGACCCTATCCTGATGGCAGGTTTTGGGACCACCTAGAATCATGATGTTATCACTCTATGGCTCCCAAGCAGCCACTATGTAGGAATCTCCATTTGCCACACCCCTCTCATGAAGCTGGGTGTCATTGGATATGACCTTGGTTCACATAAACCTAAGTCTGTTATAACCTATTGGAGATTTTCCTTCAGGCTATCTGTGTGATGACAAGTCCTATACCCTACAGTCTATCTGGCCATCTGTAACCCCAGTTCTACCAAGCCTGCCCTACTTTCGAGGGCCAAATATCATAGAGAGGCTATATATGCCTAATACTTCTTTTAGTTTCAATTTAGGCAAAAACTTTGATCTGGGAATTGGGCACCTTGAGTTCTAGTCCTAGCTCTTCTATAAATCAAGCATGTGATTTTAGGCAGGTGTTGGAGATAGCCAAATGATCAAAAGAATTCTCATGTCTGTGTGCAAACTCATTTGCAGTGTGACTTTGTATCCCATCCCATCAGGAGATGTCCTTTAATTCTCAATCCCCTAAAGCGATGTTTGGCTAAGTGACGTGATCAGTCAATGAGACCTTAACAAATACAATGCAAGCAGTGCCTTTAAAAGTGTTTGCACATTGGGCCTTGCTCTGTCTTGCTGCTGAGATCCATGCTGCCATATGTGAGCAAGTTCATACTAGCCAGCTGGATGATGTTGTATTTAAGCCTATAGCCAGATTGTGAATGATGTACCACCAGATTAACAAGTCTTCCAAGTGCAAGAAATGTGAGTGAGATTATTCTAGATTATCCAGCCTCCATTACGCCAGACTAGAAAATCCGTCCAGTTAACTCACAAAATTATGAGCAAATACAGGATTGTTTTTTTAAGCCATTGATGTTGGGGAGGGTTTGTAAATAGCTGAAGCGAACTGGTAGTGTAACCCAGTTTCTTTCTCTGATTCTCTTTCCACATTATGAAAATGAGAGTTTTGAATCAGATCAGTGCTGTTAAGTACAAAGCACAGGAGCCACCATTTTCCTAACCCGAGACCATATGAAATATTGTTGACTGATCACAGCACACTTTCTCACCGGACCCAGAAATACTGATAAAATATTTCTTATTCCAGCACTCGAGTAGCTACCCCAGTCCCCACTGTGGGCAATGGGGTCATACCCATTTGCCAGCTCTGTTCCAGGTTAGTAATTCTCAGCCGTAAACAATCACCACAGTCCTCCAGGGAGAGGTATAGACCATCAGATTGCCTGCTCCAACTTTGTTGAAATCGCATTTAGTAGTTTGGATCAGCCTGGAGAGCTAGAGGTTTCCAGGCGATTCTAATAATGAGACAGGTTTGGGAACAGTAGATGGAATGATTTTTTAGTTGTTCTCCAACCCAATCCTTTGGATATTCTGACAAAAGCATTTTCCTTAATCTTAGATTTGACAGGGTAATAACAATACCTTCTATTCGTAAGTATTCCCATGCATACATATATGTGAGTCCTCAAGTGAATCACCTATACTGCTTTGAGTAAACCCAAGGTTCTCTTCTAAAATCCTTCTTTCAGTATGCAGTAAGCCAGAGAAGACCCTCTTAGGCATTCAGAAGAAGGAGAGAGAGAGACTCCCAGATTCAGGATAAGGTAATTTAATTGGTTTATTCTCTAAAGGCATAAACCATGGATCCTGCTCTGAAAGAGTAAGCTCACAGTATTGTTAAGAAGACCATGAATTAGGGGTGCCTGAGTGGCTTAGTCAGTTCAGCGCCCAACTCTTAGTTTTGGCTTCGGTCATTTTCTCACAGTTGGTGAGATTGGCCCCGCACTGGGCTCTGCGCTGACAGCACGGAGCCAGCTTGGGATTCTCTCTCTTCCTCTCTAGCTGCCCCTTCCCTGCTTGCATGCACGCATTCTCTCTTTTCTCTCTCTCTCTCTCTCTCTCTCTCTCTCTCTCTCAAAATAAATAAATAAATAAAAAGGCCATGAATCTACACCTGGGCTTCCACACTGTGACCTAGCATGTGACTTACATGAAGTTACCTGCAAACCAAGATCTCTAGGTTAGAATATTGAAAGATAACCATGAAGTGCCAATAATAATACTGATAGCTAATACTTATTAAGTGCCTTCTATGTGCCAAGCAGTGTGCCAAGACTTTGTTACTTCATCTCACTGGCTCCTCCGAGTAACCGCATAAATGGATACTTTTTATTCCCATTTAATGGACAAAGAAAGTGAGTTCCGGAGGGAGAAGTAACTTACCTGGAGTCACTTAAGTAGTGGATGGCAGAGGCAGGCAGAATACACGTGGATCTGACTCCAAATCCCCACTCCACACTAGCGTGCCACACAGCCTAGGAAACATGGGAAACATAAACAAACTCCCGAAAGACATTCTTCTAAAACATGCCAACTATGACAGAATGTTAAATCAAATTAAAACCGTGAAAGAAAATGAAGGGTTGATTCCTTCTCTTACATTTTCTCATCAAAACTCACAATCCCATTATGTTTATTGCTCCCATTATTCTAGTTTCTTCTCAAAAAGAAGTTTTGATTGACAGCTTCTTGGAAGTCACTATAATTTAATATGCTTACCTTCTCTTTAATCATTTTACTTTGTTTCTTCTCTACTGTGTCTATACAAAGGGAGAAAAATATCACTTTTCTTTTGCTTTTTCTGTATTATTCTATTTGGAAAATCTTGGAAGGCTTTCTGTGTTTTTCTTTACCTTTCCAAATTCTGCCATTTCCAGGAAGCAAGTCATATATTCAAGAGGATGAAAAGCAGGGGAGTTTGGCTGTAATTATTTGTTTTTCAAATGAGAATGGAGAAATCAGTGAAGATGGCAGAATATTCCTGTTCATTTGTGCAACAGACACATATTTATTGAGCACAAAGGGCTTGACCCTTTGATAGGTTTATTGGAACATCCCTTCTACTGGAGGAGAGAGTCCTAAGTTAGGTAATCATACTGAAAAATATACAGTTACATTGAGAATGGTGGAGGAGAGCTATAGGGTCCAACAAAAGCTTGTAACGGAGGAGGTGACATCATCAGGAAGGCCAGGGAAGCTTTTCTGAGGAAGAGACACAAGATCTAAGTTAACTAGGAGAAGGAGAGGCTGGGGCAAGAAGTGCTGGGCAGAGAGAACAGCGGTTGCAAGAGCACTATGGGGAAAGGGATTTAAAAGACCATCGTGGTGAGAGCAGAAATGAGTGTGCTGTGGCTGAGGAAGGAGACAGGAAGACCACCATGCTGGGCATGCAGATTAAGATTTGGGAATTCTATTTCCAGAGCAATGAACACATTGAAGGGTAATGATCAAGGGGATGGTCCACTCAGATTTGGATTATGAAAAGATCACCCTGGATGTAGGGATTAATAAAACACTTTCCTATAGAAAGACCTTTTACATCATGGACTTTGGGCATAAAATAAGGAAGTCTTCAGCAATTTTCTTTTTAGCAGGCAGAGGTCATGGCGTAAGTGAAATGATCTCAGGACACTTAGTTTTCAACATCCTTGTTATTGAATTGAGCAGTGAAGTAATCTCCCCAAATGTTACATTACAGAGAAGACAAAGCACCCAGACACCCAAGTGGTAAGAAGACCAGCCTGGATTCATTTCTCAATTTCTTGCCGTGATCATGTCCCTTTGGGAATTAGTGTGATCAGCAGTAGCAGCATCTCTACATTTAAATAGCTCTTCTAGAGTTTATAAAACCCTTCTACAAACATTACGGAAGATTAACAAGAATAATCCCCACCCGTGAGAGCTAATCAAGTGCTGCAGACTATTGCAATTTACTCCTTGTCATATCTTGTAGATACATAGGGAACAATTATGTTCATTTTAGAGATGACAAAGCTGCAGTGCAGAGAGATGCACTTAATGATTGAACTCACAAGTTCAACTTGCAAGTGACGAGCCTGGGGCTTGACGCCAGGTCTGCTGATTTCTGCCCGGAAACTTTACCACTATACATTGTAGCAGTTTCCAGACTACCTGGACTTAATTCTTGCCTCCACCATTTACTCACTATGTGAGCATGGACAAGTTTTTAACTTTTCTGAGGTTCGGTTTCCTGATTGATAACTGTGGATAATAATAGAACAATGTGAAAGAGTCATATAGAATAAACTAATACACATAATACTCTTAGAACTGCCTCATCCATAGTAAAGGCTCGATCAATGTTTGGTATTATTATTATCATTGTGATTGTATATATTCCACTATAATGTGCTATTTGGGGTGGGGCAAAGAATCTTTAATAATAATAAAACATATTTTTTTAAAGCAGCTAAAATTTATTAGGCAGGTGTTCTTAGTGTTTAAAGTGTAAGGTAGGTATTACCTACTGTAACAGGAGAGTTGACCTCATCAGGAAAGTCAGGGGAGCTTTTTTTAATTTTATTTTTTTTTTTAATTTATATTCAAGTTAGTTCACATACAGTGTAATCTTGGCTTCAGGAGTAGAACCCAGTGATTCATCTGTTACATATGACACCCAGCGCTCATCCCAAAAAGTGCCCTCCTTAACACCTGTCACCCACTTAACCCATCCCCCCACTCCAGCAACCCTCAGTTTGTTCTCTGTGTTTAAGAGTCTCTTATGGGGGCGACTGGGTGGCTCAGTCGGTTAAGCCACCGACTTCGGCTCAGGTCATGATCTCGCAGTCCGTGAGTTCAAGCCCCGCGTCGGACTCTGTGCTGACAGCTCAGAGCCTGGAGCCTGTTTCAGATTCTGTGTCTCCCTCTCTCTGACCCTCCCCTGTTCATGCTCTTTCTCTCTCTGTCTCAAAAATAAATAAACGTTAAAAAAAAAAAAAGAGTCTCTTATGGTTTGCCTCCCTCTCTGTTGTTATCTTATTTTTCCTTCCCTTCCCCTATGTTCATCTGTTGAGTTTCTCAAATTTCAACATATGTGTGAAATCGTATATCTGTCTTTCTTTGAATGATCTATTTTGCTTAGCATAATACCCTTCAGTTCCATCCACATTGTTGCAAATGGCAAGATTTCATTCTTGTTCACTGCTGAGTAGTATTCCATTATATATATAAACCACATCTTCTTTATCCAGGAACCAGTCAGTGGACATTTGGGCTCTTTCCATAATTTGTCTGCTGTTGTTAGCGCTGCTGTAGAGGAAGAGACACATGACATAAGTTAACTAGGAGAAGGAGAGGCTGGTCAAGAGTGTGCTGAGTAGAGAGAACAGCCAGTACTAGTATGTTAATTTTTACTAATGAGGAAATTAAAGCACAGAGGTTAAAAGTAATTTATTCAGAGTCCCTAAGTGGAAATGTGGCAGGGCCAATATTTAGAGACAGGTAATTCTGACACCCAAGACAGCAGGCCTGGAAACCTTGCTTGTTTGCCTGAAAGCACTGGCATTTATTGACAGACCCCTGAAATGAGAAGCTACAGGTGGCAAATGCAGCAAGACGACACCGGGAGCTGAGAGTTGAAGGAAAAGAAGTTCGTTGGAAATGGATTTTCCTCCTGACTAGTTGAGTCGCCTGGCAGAGTTTTTCAAGCCTGAGAATGTTAAGGATGTACATGTCTGGAGAAGAAGAGGATGTTAATGAAACCATGAATTGTCTTTGTCAGTGAGAGGTTAGCATTTTTAGATGAAATGTACTGCAAGGTAAAGCTTAGAAACTGTGGTCTGTAAGGCTTCCCAGCCAAGAATAAAAAGAGAATATATTTCCAGTTGAAGGAATTATCTAATGATTTAACATGAAATTGATTTTGTCCATTTTCAATGCATATTTTTCATGTCTTTCCTTCTTATAACCCTTTCTTGCTACTCATCTTGGTGTACTCCGTGCCCAGGATGGAAGGTTTAATTGCTATTACTCATTCAGTAAGACAGCTTTTATTCCCAAGTATAAGGTGTCCAGCAGTGCCAGTCCCAAACTATTAAATGGGCAGGCAATGTAAAATCTGTTTGAAGAGCAAGTAGCATATTCATTTGACTCAAGAACAAACATTTGAACTCTCAGGCAGGCTCATCTGTTTTCTTGGCAATCTGCAGCTGAGATGGTCTTGTGGAATTTCTATCCACCTCCCTTTATTTTAAGCTTATTTCCATTTTGCTCTGGATGTTGCCACTGAAGATTCTGTTGCATGGGAATACGAACTGGTGCAGCCACTCTGGCAAACAGTCAGAAGGTTCCTCAAAAAATTAAAAATAGAACTACTCCAAAACCCAGCAATTGCACTACTAGGTATTTATCCAAGGGATACAGGTGTGCTATTTTGAAGGGGCACATGTACCCCAATGTTTATAACAGTACTGTCAACAATAGCCAAAGTATGGTAAGAGCCCAGATGTCCATCGATGGATGAATCGATAAAGAAGATGTGGTATATATAGACAATGGAGTATTACTTGGCAATCAAAAAGAATGAAATCTCGCCATTCACAGCTACATGGATGGAACTAGACAGTGTTATGCCAAGTGAAATTAGTCAGAGAAAGACATCATATGACTTCACTCATCTGAGGACTTTAAGAGACAAAACAGATGAACATAAGGGAAGGGAAGCAAAAATAATATAAAAACAGGGAGGGGGACAAAACAAAAGAGACTCTTAAATATGGAGAACAAACAGAGGGTTCTGGAGGGG